TCTACGATGTGTAAATATACACTGCAATCTAGTTAGTAACAGTTACAACGTTAACCCTTGGGGAAGACCCAGCGATGTAATAACAAGTGTTACAGTTCCAACTGACAGACCATTATTAGGCTCGGTAGTTAGTTACATTGATGTTGAAAGTAGGATTTCAGTTATCAAGGGTTCTTTCTCAGAACTTGTATTCTACACGACAGATCAAGAAGGGAAACCTATTGATATAGATGAAGTGCTTATCGAGATGTACCTTGAGTAGATGGCTTACATTAGTTAATATAAGATGGACGACGATATTATGAAAGAACAGGGACTACGAGATATTTACTACAATCCTAAGACTGGATTTCAAACACCAGAGAAACTATACCTTAGAGCAGTATCAGACGGACTTAAAGTAACCAGAAACCAGGTCAAGAAATGGATAAACGAGCAGGACACATACACGAGGTACAGACAAGTATTTAGGAAACATAAGTTCAGACAGACGTACGTCCAAACTTTAGGTGAACAGTTACAAATGGATTTAGTTGACATGACAAAATATGACGACAAGAACAAGGGATACCGCTGGATTCTCACATCCATTGAAATACTGAGTAGGTACGCATTCACGGTACCAGTGCATAGAAAAAACGCGAGATCAATGAAGGACGCAGTCAGTAACATTTTAGAGCAATTTAATAATCACTTTGGTAAATACCCAAAATTCACCCAGTTTGATCAAGGCACAGAGTTCTACAACAAAGAAGTAAAGTTGTTGCTCAATAAACATAACATTGAATTTTTCTCTACTTACTCAGATAAGAAGGCCGCAGTTGTGGAAAGATTTAACAGAACACTGAAAGCGCTAATGTGCAAGTACTTTTACAGTGCCAGTACATATAAATGGTTAGACATCCTTCAAGACTTAACTGATAATTACAACAGTTCAGTGAACAGATCAATTAAAACAACACCGGACAGTGTAAATGAGTCCAATTGGACTGAAGTATGGAAGACACATTTTGGTCACAATTTAGGCAAGCCGTCGGAACCAAAGTTTGCTGTCGGAGAAAGTGTTAGAATCTCGAAGTATAAATCAGTGTTCACAAAAGGGTACGAAGCAAACTTCACAGAGGAATTATTCACTGTGACGGAAGTGTATCACGGTCATCCAAACACGTACACAATAAAAGACAGTGCTGATGAACCAATAATTGGCAGATTCTATGAACAAGAACTATATAGCGCTGAAGGAAGAGAACCTGATTTCAGAATAGAGAAAGTACTAAGAAGAAGAACAGTGAAGGGTAAAAAGATGGTCCTAGTTAAGTGGTTAGGTTATGATGACAAATTTAACAGTTGGATACCAGCTGGAGACATCAAGTCCCTAACATAAGTTAAAGTATTATGGAGGACTACGATGACATTGAGTTGGAGGAGACAGAAAAAACTTATCCTCAATATGACGATCTTAATTATGATGACCTAACGACAGCTTTTAGTAGGTTAGATACAAGGGTGAAGGGAGAGGCTATGTATGGTGATGACCCTATAGTATTAACTGATCTTAAAAGTGAACTGGACTATGTGAAGAATCTCATGGAGAGACGTGCAATAGCAGAAACAACTTTCACTGAAGGAAATGATGGTACAGTGAACATTTCAGGTCCATCAGGAAGCACAACTGTCCCGGAAGTCAACTTCGTGGAAGACCCAAACAATGTACTTCCAGATGTTCTAGATGCATTCAACGAATCATTTGACGCTGACTGGGATGAAATAGAAGCCCGCCTAGAGAAGTTAAATAAGATTTCAGCAATAAATAAAAAGAGAGATTTTGAAAACCAAGCGGAGCGCGTTCAGGCTGTCGTAAGAGTTATCAAGGGTAAGGAGGGACTAATACTAGACCCAAAAAATAGATACGTCAGAGAACTCATTAAACGATCATCTGTTAGAACACTCAAGGATGGCACGGAGGTGTTGGTATTCAGAAGTGAACAAGGTATTGACAAAAGTGGCACACAAATAATGAAACGCGGTAAGACCAGCAAACCTGTGTACTCAAACAACTCACCCGCTCTGAGAGAATACAAAGAACTTATAAAGAAAATCAAGCAGACCCCTACGGATCCTGACGCTAGAATTACAAGTGAAGAGGATACTAAAGAAGAGCCGCAATTTGATGGAAGTGATGAAGAATACGCTAACCGTGAGAACATTGAGTTAATAGATATAAGTGCAAAATTAGGAGATCTTCCAGGGTTAACAATGCAGGAAAACAATGAACTGAGAGGTGTTCTTAACCCACCTGATGGATCAAGCATAGAAGGCAGAACAGGTCCCAATGGTGCATTACAAATTCAAGCTGACTACTTCAATGAAGCTATTAATGAAACCGTGGAAGGTGTAACTGAGTACAATGCTCTTATAGAAAGAATTGATAGTCTAAAGGAAGCTAGAGATCGGACACTAGAACAGAGAACAGTAGAGGAAGCAAGAGAGGCACAGTTGGAAGACATTTCTAGATTACGTAAGTTTATAGACTGGGTAGGAAAGGAGAAAGTGGGACTTGTAGGGATAGCAGTGTCAACAGCCAGTTTGATTACAGCCTTATTAATCCATGCTAGGGGAGCCATTGCGAAGACAGCAAGGGCCACTGGTAAAGTAGCAAAAGCATTAGCAAATTTAGCAAAGAAAGCAGGACCAATTCTAGTTCCAATCCTGAACGCAATTGCAACAGCGCTATCATGGGGAGCCAAAGGAATTGCTTGGTTAGCGTCACACTTATGGGTACTAGCTGTAGCTGCAGCCCTAATGGTATACAACTATTACACAAAGTAAATTAGCTATGGAGGAACACCAAGAGGAATACGATGACCAGAAAATGGAGGAGTTGAAGGAAAAGTATCCAGACTATGAAGAAATGGATATAGAAACTTTAGATAGCGAATTACCGTACCTTGACAAGGATCTTAGGGAAAGCGAGACTACTGAGGAGACCCAGGATATTAACGAGGAAATTAATTACATACAGGTACTGAGGAGGAGAAAAATATTGACTGAAGACCTTACGAGAGAGCAATTAGCTGAGAAATTCCCTGACCTATCTAATCTATCATACGATGATCTAATGGATAGCAGAGACAGACTGTTAAATGAATTAATACTATCCAATCTGGACGAAGACAGTTTCAAAGAAAAGTCGGAAGAACTGAGATACGTCAGAATGCTATCAAATGATTACCAAAGAGAGTCAAACTTAAATAAACTTCTCAACTTAAGAGACAAAGTGAAAAAGAGGGATCTCATTAAACGGGATGATCGTAGGAGACTGCAGAGGCTCAGGTTATGGGCAAGGGAGAATGCAGGCATCTTATCAGCTGTTCTAATTTCATCATCAGCTGTAATCATAGGACTGGTAGCATCAACTAGAAACATAATGTGGGAAGTAGGTGACACAACAGGAAAGCTCGATAAGAAGATCAGTGAGTTGGTAAACAATCAAATAGAACTACCGCCTGTATTCCAGAAGATAGCCGATGGAGTAGAGTTAGCAGCGGATAATATATGGATAATCATTGTTTGTGCAGCAGTAGTTTTACTATACCGACTACGTCAGTAGCGGCTACGCAGGCTACGCCTAGTACAAATACAACTAAACATTACATATTGTATAAAAGCATGAATACCACAGAAAGAGAACTCCAGCCTGGCTTCAGGAGGAGCCGTATGACATCCGTAAAAGGTCCCAGAACTAGAAGTGTTGTAACATTTAATCCAACAACCATTAGCCCAGGTGAAGAGCTGTACATTAACATTCCTAAACTAAAGCCTGACTCTTGTTTAGTCCCAGGATCACTTGCACTCTTATTTGACTTCAAAAATTCCAATACAAAGAGCCACTTTAATAACAACCTGTCTAAGTTGATAGCTAAACGTCTTCAGATTAAAGTAGCAGGTGAAACAGCTTATGACTGTTCAGGAGAGAGTTTGTACGAAGTATACAAAGATCTATGGCTAACACTTGGTGACAGAAATAAGATGACTGAACAGGGTCTCGCAAGTGAGAATCTTAGGAAGCTGATATCAGGTGATGACTCAGGAGCAAAAGCTGGTGATGCTAATAAAGTAGCAGATGGACTTCTCCACAGTGTGTACGGTTCTAAGCTGAGAAAACCAATTGATAAAATAATTGCAGACCATGGGCTCTACACACCGTTCTCCATGAATAACAATCCTATGTACATCCTCACACTCCCGCAATCAGATGAGATTATGACTGCACAAGGAGGTGAAGCTAAGGGTAATTATAAATTTGATAATCTTGAGTTAGAATACGAAACCATTGAGAATGACGCCCTTGCAAGTGAAGTATCAAGGATGTATTCAACAGGTCGCTCACTGTCCTACAAACACGTCACACTAATGCGCACAAGTAATTGGGACAAAGATCTTACCATTGTCAATGAAAACATTAATATCCCTAGAAAGAACATGTCAGCAATTGTCCTTCTATTTACCAATAGAGTGAGAACTGATTCTGAAGAATATATTTACCCAAACATTGATAAAGTGAACCTGACCATTGAGGGTGTGCCTAATGCAGTTTTCTTCCAAGGACTTCATAAAAATAGGTTCTTCGAAGAGGCAAAAAGATTCTTTTGCCCTATGTGTGAGAAATCCATGGCAGACGAATTTATGTCCATCAGTAAGTTCTTCGGCAATGGTTTCGCTCTAGTAATCGATCTTAGGTCAACACAAGATGATACCACTGGTGGAGGCAAGAAGATTGTCAACACACAATCTGGAGTACTCCTGGAAATCAAAAAGAGAGCCACAACAGCTGACGTTCAGTGCAACATTTTTATTGTATCAGATGCTCTCCTTAACTTCGCAAATAGAGATCTATCAAGTATTCAATATTAACTTGTACCGACTACGTCAGTAGACGCTGCTAGCGCAGCTAGTACTAACGGTAAAGCATAGAGATGAATATAATACCTCCATTCAACATGCTCATAGTAGGAATGACAGGAAGTGGTAAAACTCAGTTCTTACTTAATATGTTAGAAACAGAGTACAATAAAGTTTTCGATTACATTATCATTATATGTCCAACAATAGAATGGAATATGACTTATATTAACTGGGCTCATATTAGTGACCACGGAGTCATACAGATTCCATGTTCACAAGAAATGATCAATCTTATTCTCAAGGCAGTGTCCACCATATTCCGCGGAACCCAGACGCTCATCATTGTGGACGATTGTGCTGCAAGTCAAGATGTAAAGAAAAGAGTCTCAGAACTGGTGCGCCTTGCATTTTCCGCAAGACATTACAACCTATCTGTCATTGTACTTACCCAACAATTGTCATCAGTAGCAAAACCATTTAGGGAGAACATTTCCAGGTTAGTTACATTCTACAACCCTAGTCGCAGGGATATGAAGGTGATAACAGATGATTACCTAAGTGGTGTTCCTCAGGAGACAATTACAGAGATTACAAAAATATTAAAAGATGAGAAGTTCACCGCACTAGATGTACTACTTATTCACCCTTACACATACACCATTAAACTAAACACCGCGTGGGAAGCGAATCTGAAGAAGAAATATTTGAGGCTGTAAGAGAAGTAGAGAAGGCCGCAAAGGCACCACAAAAGAAAGCAAAATCCACCGCAAGAAAAACTAAGCCCACCGCAGATAAGTCGCAAACTGAAAGTAAAAGAGACAAGCTTATAGAGCTATCTAAGGATGGTGTAATTGATGAGACCGCAAGTTTTATAAGAAAGTCCAACAAGGATGTTGTGGATAGACTATACCATGAGTATGAAAGTCAGAGGATGTCATGTGCAAGTGACTTCTTATCAACACTTATAATTTCAAAGTTTGCTTCTATACTGGGAAGTTTCGGTGCAGTGGCATCTTCAGAGAAGCTGTCAGAGGAACTACTTTGCGACAAACTTCTAAAGGATGACGTATGTTACCTAACAAGAATGATATCCCCAAACATTCCATTCATAGGTTTAATATCAGGTGGTTGTACAACAGCTAAGCATGTAGTTGCCCATAAGTGGAACAAGAAGGAGGAACCGGGGGAAATATCTGAGGAAGCTAAACATATCTTATTAAATACAGAAGAGGAATGTCTCAACTTGGAGAGCCGTACGATTGGGGAAACGCCTGGGAAGGAACCGAATTTGAAGACATAATTGATGAACTGATCGAGAAGACCGATGCAAATAAGGAGCAGCTAAATAGAATTCAGGAAGCGCTGGATTCAATGGAAAGCCTACTTAAGAAGAACCAGTCAATAATAGAATTTGTGGAGAAGGACCTATACAACCTTAAAAATAAGATCATAGGACCACTCCAGTACGAATACCAGGCGTTCAAAGATGATACAGTGAAAACAGTTGTAAGGATATACAAGAAACTAAATGAAATGTAATATTTTATTTGCTATGGGACATACATGGTAGGCAGCTGGGTGGGTAGAGGGAATGCCGATACTGAGAGAGTGGTTTAGAAAACCAGCTAGAGAACGGAATAAGGTAAGCGTATACGGAATACATAAGAGGGGTGATTTGCCCCTCTTCATAAATCAAAATTAAATGTTAGATAAAATAGGCATAAATATTTTTACATATATAATATAGAGAAAGATGGAAAAACTATTCAGGAACCCATATCTAAATGTTAGTGTAAGAGTCATCGGGAAAGGTGACGAGATACTATTTTATGCAAAAGACGTGGCAGAATCTCTAGGGTACTCAAACTCTCAAAAAGCTGTCAGAGACCATGTTTGGAAACTAAATAAGGTAGTTGTGGGAGAACTTCAAAGGGTACCCAGTAAGTTCACCTTGGAAAATTGTCACCCACAGACAATTTTATTATACGAACCAGGAATATACCAACTGGTATTCAAATCAAGACTTCCAATAGCAGAGGCCTTTCAGAACTGGGTATTCAGGGAAGTCCTCCCATCCATAAGTAAAACAGGCTCGTATAATTTACCAGACAGAAGATCGCTTAGATATAACCAAATGATCCTTATAAATGAAACGGACCTTCATCACATAGTTGTGAGTTACATTAGAGACAACTACCCAGAGGCTGTGATTCTACCTGGTCTAGGTGAGTATCAGGACACGGTGTTAAAGAGATGTGATGCCTGGAAGAAGGGATACAAAGGTGGTCAGCCGGATCTTATTATAGAGAATCCTATGGGGAAGTATAAAGGATTTGCTATTGAATTTAAGTCTCCTAAGGGCACTGGGATTGTAAGCGAGAAGCAGGTAGTATGGCTTCATAAGCTTATGGAAATAGGGTACATGGTAATGATATCCGACGACTTGATAAAAACTTGTATTAGAATCAACGAGTACTTCTCACTTAAGAAAACCGTAAGAAAAGTTGCAGTGAAAAATATTGCCAGCGGTGTAAAGACGTACAGACCAAAGTTCAAATCAGATAAGTACTAAGTTATCTTTCAAGTAGATTTAAGATATCTCACCAGTAGATTTAAGTTATCTCACCAGTTATCTCACCAGTAGATTTGAGTTATCTTACAAGTAGATTTGAGACATCTTACAAGTAAATTCAAGTTATCTCACAAGTAGAATTTAAGATATCTCATAAGACGGAACCCAGTTAAACCTAAGGTATCTTACAAGTAGAATGGAAGATAAACCTGAGCAAATTCAAGCACAAGTAACAAGTGAAAAGAAGAAGGACCCAAAGAGAGTAGCTGCGGGAAAACGACTAGCTGCAATCAGCAGAATAGCAAAGGAGAGGAAAAAGAAACTTGCTGAACCCAAGGAGTCACAAAGTAGCGACAGTATAATTACATACGTGGGTGTTGTAATCGCACTTATATCTCTAGTGTTAGCATTTAAGTCACACCAGAGGGAAACCGGGGAACCGGAACACAAGCACATACCTGAGACTGTAGAAGTAACTAGGAAAGCTGATGCGCCTAAGTTAGATTCACTTGAATGATACATTAAACATACTATATATTATAACAAGATGAGTGAAAAATCAAAGATGACTATGGAAGTGTACAACGCAGTGTTACTTACAGCAGGAGCAGTTGGTATATCAATGGCATCGAAAAAACTATTAAAGAACCATTGGGCACCCCAGAAAATGTAAAAGGAATGGCGAAGCTAGCTGTCTCAGTTAGCCTTTCATCTCTACTGGTCTCTTACTTGAAAAAAAAGAAATATCTACCAGATGACCCATTTAAAACCTGGGTAAGACTATACAATGGCGGGAGCAGTAGCAGGAGGACTCTTTAATGCATTTGCATTTGCGGGAGCAGGATTCTTATTTAAAATGTTTGACAAGAATGGATACGCCGAGGAAGCTCATAGACACAACATTGCGATGGAGAACCTAACAGCCGAAAGAGAGAAGTACCTTGAAGAGGTCACTGATAGAAGAAATAGAATTGCCCAACTTAAGTTAGAACTAGCTGAGGCAGATAGGGATATTAATTCAACAAACAAGTCACTGGAACTCGTTAGAAGAATCAATGAGTTAACACGTAAGGCTATGCCAAGAAAGCCACAATTAAGAAATCACTACAAATCTAGCTCAGAGATGGCAGAATATATGGCAATATTTGGTTTAATTACAGGTGAGGTGGTTGGAGGGGTGGCTTACCTAATGATATAATATGGTAAAAAATTTTTACATATATAGTATAGAGGAATGGAATGGTTAGAGATGGTAACACCTGATGAAATGGCACGGGTATGTAGGAAGGCAAATACACTGGAAGAGTTAGAGGCTACCGTGAGAAAGTACGTGGAGAGTAGAATAAAAACAAAACATACATATGATCCAGTATATAGTGAATGTGGTAGTAAGTCTATTGTAATAATAGATGGAGCAGATGTATGTACACAATGTGGTACAAGTGATAGGAACGGCTTCACATACTATGTTAGTTACAACCACAACAAGGACGACTACCTGAAAAAGAAGTCTTGTCATAATAGAGTCCGTTGGTTTGAGAGACACTTATTCGAGAATGTTGCTTCAGGGGATAGGGATACCATAAGGGAGCAGTTTAGAAGCATCGTAAGATGTATACAAAGACTTAGACTGCAAAGGGGACGCAACATAGTTAGATATAAGTTTTACCTACTGAGGATAGCCAGCATGAACAACATCACGCTGAGAAACCCTCCTGAGGACATTAAGACTCAAAGAATTGTGGACATCCTTGAGAATAGGTTATACAGCAAAGTCTTCCCCGAGTTGGGATGGAAACCTATAAATTGTAAATATTATAATAACTGGAAATTAAATAAAAATATAAAATAAAATTATAAAATTAAATAAAAATATAAAATTATTAAATTAAATAAAAATATTAAATTAAATGTTAAATTAAATAAAATTATAAAATTAAATGTTAAATAAAATTAAATGTTAAATTAAATAAAATTATAAAATTAAATGTCAAACAAATTATTAAATTAAATAGGCCTTTTAATAGGCCTATTTTTTTTTACATATAGTATATAGAGAAAGAGTGAAAAAAATGGCGACAAACTTTGACATGAACGATTTAACTGTAGAACAACTTATGGCCCTCAGTGAGATCATTGGTGATAGCGATAGTAGTGACATTGATGATAAAGTTGAGGAAATATTTGCGGATAAGTTTTATCGAGTTGCACCTAAGGATAAGGGCAAAGATCCCTTTGAAGGAGAAAGACAATTCATAGATGAAGCTGACCGTTCTATGGATCCTAAGAAGCCACGACGACTTCCACTTAACTATAAAGGTAGAAGAGGAATTATGCCGACATGGAAGTATTCTGAGAGACAAAAGGCTAAGGCCTTACTTGTTGAAGAGGCATACCAGAGTCTACTAAGTAGGGGAGTTGAAGGTTTACCACCAACAATGGGAGGTAGATGGCGAACCGACGATCCACAGGTGAATGCTGAAATTAAGAGGCTTGAAAATGAGAGGAACCCCAAGCGTCCTAGAGGAAGGCCACCAAAGCCTAAGTCCAATACTGAAGTTAAGGTTCCCAGAGGTAGACCAGTAAAGTCTAAGGTTGATGCTGAAGTTGTGATTCCAAAAAAGCGTGGAAGACCACCAAAGCCTAAGTCTGATGCTGAAGTTAAGGCCCCTAAAAGGAGAGGTAGGCCACCAAAGTCTAAGGTAGTTGAAACACTAAAGCCTAAGGTTAAAAGACAAACTGTTGCTGAAAGATTCATAAGTCAAAATAGGATTAAACTTTCAGTTCCTGCAAATAGTGTTATAACTCCAACAGGTCCTGGTAAGTTTACAATTCACGTGGATCTTAACAAGAAACCTACAAGGAAAGCTCCTGAAGTACCTAAGGGTGTAGCTCCCTGGAAACCAACACCCAAACCTAGGGAAAGACCAATTCCTAAACCTAGAACTGTATTTCCTAGGGAAAGGCCTATTCCTAAACCTAGAACCATACCCCCTAAGGAAAGACCAGTTCCTAAGCCTAGAACCAGGAAACCAGTGGCTCCTCCAAAGTTACGAAAGCCTGTAAAAGTGTCGAAGGAAGTTAATGAACAGCCTGTAGTGGTTACACCGAAGGAACACGAAATAGATCCATTTGGAACATATCTCGAAAAGCCATCTCATAGGAAAATTGAAACAGCTGCAAATGGAGCTGCTGTGACTTTTTCAATTACTCCACATTTTATGGATCCCCTAGACCAGATGACAGCAAGTAGGCAGGTAGTGAGAGGAATTCTAGTTAACGAGCTGAAGAGAATGGGAGGGTTGAAATATACCGAGACAATTAAGGTGAGAATGTCAAAGGAGATCGGTAACGATAAGACAAAGAAGGATTCAATATACTTTAAGTCTAAAACTGGAACCGCGACTAACTTCGAGGACATCGAAAGTACAGCTGCTCAAAATCAACTGACCATCCTAGCTAGAATTGAAACCTTTCAGAACTTAGGTTCAAATTGGATTATTCTGAATATTGAAAGCCATTATGTCAACATTGCGATGTACAAACCTCTAAAGGGTAGTTCATATATGAAATTACCTGCAGACATCATTAATCCAAAATGTGGTCTCATCAACATGAAAAACAATGACAACAAATGTTTTATGTGGAGTCATGTGAGACATGTAAGACCCAAAGCTAGAAGAGCAACCACCATTACACGACAGGATATGGAGTTCGCAGAAAACCTAGATTATGAAGGAATAGACTTCCCCGTGAAGATAAGTGATATTGACAAAATCGAGAGGAAAAACAGTATGAGCATATCAGTGTTTGGTTATAAGGGTAAGAAGCAGTTCTATCCTATAAGAAACTCCAAGACAAAATATGACGAGCATATGGAGTTGCTGCTTTTAGGTGATGGTAATGGAAACAACCACTATGTCCTAATAAAAGACATTAATAGAATGCTGTATAGTGTCAGTGGATACGAACATAAGAAGCACTTTTGCCTACACTGTCTTCATAGTTGTAAGAGTGAAGAGCTACTAGAAAAACATAGGGAGACATGTATCGAGGTAAATGGAACTCAGGCCACAAAGCTTCCCAAGGAGGGTACAAAAATAAAGTTCAAAAACCACAGAAACTCAATGCCCGCACCATTCGTGATATACGCTGACTTTGAGTCTATACTGGTCGGCACTGGCGCCGACTGCGTAGCGAAGCAAGTACTGGTTCCAGAAGAGAAAAAAGTTGATTCTAAAAACTCTGAGGACAAAAGTAGTACAGACCTTTACCAGACACATAAGGCTTGTAGTTTTGGGTTAAAAACAGTCTGCCATTATGATGATAACTACTCTGGTGAATACGTAAGCTACGTTGGTGAAGACGCCACATTAGTCTTCCTAAAGACTGTACTGAAGGAGTCTATTAAGTGCAGAGAAATGGTTAATAAGATATTCAAGAAAAAGATGGTAATTACACCTGAACAGGAAGCTGAGTTCTGGATGACTAGAAACTGCTCAATATGTGGTAATGATCTTGGAGATGATAGAGTGAGAGACCACGATCATGTAACAGGAATGTTTCGTGGAGCTGCCCATAATATGTGCAACTTAAAATATAGAATCACATGGAAAGTTCCTGTGGTCTTCCACAATCTAAGAGGTTACGATAGCCATCTAATTATGCAAGAGATTGGTAAATTTAAGATGAACATTAACGTAGTTCCAAATAATATGGAAAAATATATTTCATTCTCACTGGGTAAAAATCTTGTCTTCATAGACTCTATACAGTTTATGGCTTCTTCATTGGAAGCACTCGTGAGTAACCTTTCACCTGAGGACTTTAAGATAGTAGGTAAGAGGTGGAAGGGTGAGGACTTCAATCTTGTAACACAAAAGGGTATATTTCCATATGAATTCTTAGATGACATTAGTAAACTTAATGTTGAGGGTCTTCCAAGTAAAGATAAATTCTACTCAACACTGTACGAGTCAGAGGTGAAGGAAGAAGATTACCAAAGAGCTCAGAAAGTATGGGATCACTTTGGAATGAAAACTATGAGAGACTACCACGATCTCTACCTAGAAACTGACGTTCTTCTACTGGCGGATGTTTTTGAGAACTTTAGAAGAACCTGCTTGGAAAACTACAAGCTTGACCCTGCACATTACATATCAGCACCTAGTCTAAGTTGGGATGCATTCCTGAAACAGTCAGGTGAAGAAATAGAACTCATAAGCGATATGGATATGTACCAGTTCTTTGAGAAGGGAATGAGAGGTGGGATAAGTCACATTGCTCACAGACAAGCTACAGCTAATAATAAGTATATGGAAACGTATAACGAAGAGCTTGAAAACAAGTACCTTATGTACCTCGACGCCAACAATTTATATGGCTGGGCAATGTCACAACCACTACCTAATGGAGAGTTTGAGTGGGTTGAGGAAATTGACAATATAAACATTGATGACTACCTTGGGGACAACGAAAGGGGTATGGTTCTAGAGGTTGACATGGAATATCCACAAGAACTTCACAATCTTCATAACGGTTATCCGCTAGCTCCAGAGAGTAAAGAGATCAGTGCTTCAATGTTGTCAGATTACGCTAAGAGTATTGCTGAGAAATTCCAACTAACAATTGGAGGAGTAAGAAAACTGGTGAACTCTCTTGGACCAAGGAAGAACTACGTCTTACATGTACGTAATCTTAAACTATACACAGACCTTGGAATGAAACTCACAAAGGTTCATAGAGCGGTCTCGTTCAAACAGTCCCCTTGGCTTAAGAACTATATTGACTTCAATACAAAGAAACGGTCAGTAGCACGTAATGTGTTTGAAAAGAACTTCTTCAAATTAATGAACAACTCAATCTATGGAAAGACAATGGAAAATCTTAGGAAAAGAGTCGATGTAAAATTAGTGTCATCGGAAGACGACCTCCTAAAACTTACGGCATCACCGTGCTTCCAGTCACATAGAATTATGAATGAGAACTTAATAGTTGTAAAACGGATGAAGGAAGTTCTGACTCTTAATAAACCGTGCTACGTTGGAATGAGCATCTTAGACTTATCAAAGACTCTAATGTATGATTTCCACTACAACACAATTAAGAAGGAGTACGGTGACAGGTCAAAGCTACTGTTCACAGATACTGACAGCTTGATGTATGAAATAAAGACTGATGACGTCTACGAGGACTTTGGGAGGATCGGTAAGGAGAAAGACTGCTGGAATAACTCAGATTATCCAAAAGATTCTCCGTACTACTCAGCTCATAATAAGAAGGTTATCGGTAAGTTCAAGGATGAAGCTGAGGGTGTACCCGTAATCGAGTTTGTTGGGTTAAGGTCAAAGATGTACTCATATGTGAAGGAGAGTGGTGGAGGTGGAATGACCGCGAAAGGAGTGAAAAAGTATGTGATCAGAAACAAGCTCACTCACGAAAACTTTAAGAACGTAATAAATATGAAAGGTAGGATGAGACATAAGATGAACACAATCAGAAGCGTCAAGCATAAAATTGGAACTTACGAATTGAAGAAAGTTACTCTTAGCTGTTTCGATGATAAAAGATACTTACTTGAAGATGGTATTACAAGTTACGCTTACGGACACTATGGAATTAAAAACTGAATAAAAGGAAACTATTAAATAAGACTTAAAATAATACTGAAAAATTAAATGATAAATACACGTTAAAAAACCACAAAAAAATATGGTCTAGAAACTTGAGCCCGCGTTTTTGGGGGAAAATATGGAAACCGCTGACCGGAAGTGGGATGAGATCGCGGGCTGAAAAAGTGGTCTAGAACCGCTACTTCCTATACTACTCACTAGTTGAGGTAATACGCGTGGGTTCATTGATGACTTGTGATAAATTATTACATTCCATCCACTGATACAATAAGGAACCAAAGTCGCCACTTTCCGATGGATTTTCTACATTATAATTTCCATTTAAATCGCCTAACAAAATAACCACTTTATTTGATTCTAATTGAACTTTATCTAAGCAAATTTGCAAATTCTCCAAAAATCCCATATTGGCGTCAAAGTCGGTGCACGGGGGCCTATAACAAGCCCCGCATACTAAGGTGATCGACTTGATTTTAATCTCTACCCATAAAATTTCGTAGTCGGATGACTCTAAATCGTGTCTGCAGCTTGGAACAAATTCAGACGAAACATACATGGCAACACCCCCGCCTCGCCTACCATCGAGTCCATCCAAACGTATCAAGGGACAATAGCCAGGTATATTAAATAAGTCATTTGAAACTAATGCGCTCAACCATGTCTCACTGATTGCAAAAATCTTTAAATTTTCATTCAAGATAATTGAAGCGATCTCTTCAAATTTCGAAGAGCTATTTGTCGATGAATTTAAACTACGAACATTCAAATGCCCAATTTTGAGCGAAACGTTGCGAACTGGACCGGGATTTAACTCCACATCTGGGCAGATTAAAAAGAAAATAATAAGCAAAGTTCCAACATGTAAACATATATTCAAAATACAAGGAATGAACGAATAACTTACTATAGGGTATGATAGATGACAATTAAAAAGTCCAATAGCTGCCCTATAACAATCTAAACTAACTCCCATGAGAACTCAAACAAAAATACAGATTTAAACTGCTCGCCTGCTGCTGCAAAGAAATTCCGAATATAATAGTATAAACATTGTAAAATGGAACAAAATAATAAAACGTATTCATGGAAACGTGCTACTTATCGTTCTCTGGTAGTAGGCGTCCTCAAACATTCAGACCATACTTGACGAGATCAGTTGGCGATATTTCGGAAATCAAAAGATCTCGCTATTTCGTTGCAATTCCACATCTCATCAATAAATAAATTCTTTTGGTCCGAGTATCAGGATAGACATTAATACTAAATAAATAACAACCACACTGTTCGGTCTAGAGATCTATATTTTCTTGTAGGTTTAATCAGCTGCCACGCAAGCGGCAAGCGT